CTCTCTCTCTCTCTCTCTCTCTCTCTCTCTCTCTCTCTCTCTCCCTGCGCCTAACAACGTCGATGGGCTCCTCCTCCGTATCAGCATCCGAAGTGTGCGCCGCCGCCATCCTCCTGCGCTCCCTGTCAAGCTCCTCGTGCGACTCCCTCAATCTCGCCTCCTCCCTAGCAATACGAGTCTCCAACTCGTTAATGCTGTTGTGATGTCGCTCTCCATGAGGCGCCGACACTCCGTCCTCTCCGGAAGTGTACAACGCAGGCGCAGCCCTGCGTGAACCTAAAAGCATGTCCCTGCGACCGTTGTATCGAGGCTGATCGAGAATGCGATAAGCACTCGCCAAACTCGGTGCCGGTCTGTGCTCCTCCGGGTCCTCCCTCAACCGTGCCTAGTGCGCCGCGAAATCACTCCTCACTTTCTCGTCAACTCGTCGCACTGTGCTCCACGGACGGTGAAATGGCTGATGTGTGTCGAGGCGAGGTGACGACGACGTCGGCACGTGGCCTCTCCCTGCAGCTCTACCCGTGACTGGTGTCGGAGTGCTGCGGGGCACGGTCGATGGAGGTGTGAGTGAAGTGGTGCGAGCCCTGTGTGCACCCTGGGTCGCGCTCCAAGCTCGCCGGAGAGCCAGAATACCGAGGGGTCACAGGTGTGTACAACGGAGGCGATCGAACCCCGACCCCAAGAGATCCTGCAACTCCCCTGCTAATCGGATCCTCCACTAGTGCATGCTGCAACGCATCAGGGTCGAGTGGCCCCGGTGTAATCCCCCCCTCCTCCATATCTGCTCTGGCGTCACTGGCGTGGTCGTGAAGGTGAGGTGGTATACCGCCCTCCTCCTCCTCCTCATCGGCACCGCCTCCTCCCTCGACATGCTCCGACGGAACGTCGTGCGCCACCGGTGAAGGATCCCACAACACTAACGCCAAAGACATACTGCCTCCGACCTCCTCCGGATCATCACCCTGCAGGTCCATGTCGTCACCCCCAATGGGGCCGTGTGACAATGGTCCTGGACCGGCACTAGGTGACGGTGAAAGTCGTCCCGCAGTATCCGCCCCATCATCGGCCTCCTCACCGGGTCCAAGGCCTTCGTCCCAATGCTCGTCAGAATCGCCCTCCATACGAACTGCGGCCTCCTCAGTTCGTACATCATCGGGCTGCAACGTGTCCGCCGCACGAAATCCAAGTACGACGTCGGACACGGCAGGATCTCCATGCTCTGGCACGGTCGGATCACCGTGCTCCTCAGTCTGTGCAGGGTAAGCTGCGAATGGATGCGGGGCTGTGGGATCGTGATGCTCCACCCCGCCTGGATCAGGTACTGCAGCACCAGTCTCCAAGTCCCGAGCACACTGCTGCTCTGCCACGTACGCGGCTCTACCCGCCCATTGTCTCTGCAACACCTCCAGCTGCTGCTCCTCCTCTCGATGCAAGCGGGCATGGAGCTCCTCCGTCGACTCCGATACACTGGCCTCCGTAGGACAATACTCGATGTCATCCCCAACTCTCTCTCCCCTGTGGCCCCGTCCTATAAGACCGGTGTCAGAACATCCATGTCCGAATCTAGGAAAGTCACTCGTGCGTAGGTCCGTCTGCTCCCTGTCCCCTGGAGGTGCTGAGGCGGGCGTGTGCTCGCTCGGCATATGCTCATTGGCTGCAATGTCATCCAGGTGGTCGGACACCTCGCGTCTGGCGCCCGTGGACGAGTCGGCCAGCGTCTGCAACCGCACTGATCTCCTAAGACCCTCGGTGGCGGACGGAGCTCTGTCGCTTGCCATGCGTGCTCTGTGAAAGACCAATAGCTCGTCGTCGTCGTCGTCCGTGCAGGCCGCCCTCTCGCACTCCCCCTCTCTCTCAGCAGTGGGCTGAGCAGGTACAGCAGCACCTGCCCTGCCTAAGGTACGTCCTCCCTTGCCGTGTGTGGCCCCTCCACTAGGCCCGCCTGTAGCACCTCCACTCGCGCCGCGTGCAGCACGTCCCGTCGGCCCGCCAGTACCACCCCCACTAGCGGGAACAGAATCGTCGTCGCTCTCCTGAATGACGGTGCAGTGTGGCTGAAAACCGTCCGGTCCTGCACCGTACGTGTAGTAGAGTCTCTCGGCACTCTTATCTACACCGGGCGGCCAATCCTCCGAGTCTGACTCCTGCTCTGACGTCTGCGCCGGCTCTGCTGGCGGTGGGGGCACATAGTCGTAAGGATGAAGTATCTCGGCTCTGGGACCGAAAACCTCACCAACTCCCTCCGACGAGAACCCTGCTGCTGGAATCGACGGACCTGTGCACTAACCTCGTGTGCGGCCACTGCCGACTGAGGTCGGGCTCCCCACTCCTCTGGCTCAGGCTCCTCCTCCTCATCCCTGTCGGCGGTGGTCGGGGTGTGTGTGTACTCGTCAGGGCGCGCCTCAGCTAGGGTCGACATGTGGCCCCACGGAAGAACGTACCCCCCGCTGCGGTTGCTGCATCCAAGTAGTTTGAGATTGGTAGCAATCTCAACTAACTGCGCGACCTTCCTGAACTTGAGCTTGTTGCGCTTGGCCGTCTGGATGCGCTCATGCTCTGCCCAATTCCTCTCAGCAGGAGAGGCGGACGTCCACATGTGCATCACACGGCCAGCGATCTCCTGCAAGTCCGCGAAGCATGCGCCGTGCTCCACCCACCATGACGCGCACCTGCTCGTCTCCTCGTCCCCTACATAGGCCTCCGCCTCGGCGTCCCTCGTCACCCTGTCCGTCATGTGGCCAACCCTGGAGTGGAAGGATCGCATCTGCTGACGCACCCGCAAGTATGCATCCCCCGCCGCATCATCGCCTGTCTGCGCCAAGAAAAACGAGTCGCACTCGGTAACGACCTCGAGGTCCGCAACTGTCCTGCGGGCGGACTCGTAGTAACGGAGGGAGCGCCTGCGGGGGTTGAGCAGGTGCGCCGCAGCGTGCGCCGGCTCAAGCATATGCATGGTGCGGATTTGCACCGCCTCCACGCACGGCCTCCGCATGTCATCAGGGACGTCAACAGCAGCCACCTGTCGCGCCAACTCCTGCGACCATGAGTACATCATGGACATGATCATGCCGCCCCTGTCCAATCTCCTCAACAGCTGGTGGACAGGGGTCATGACAGAGACAGCATACTGAACGTTGCGCCAGAAATCGGCGCACCGGATGACCTGCCGAACCCAGAGAGCCTGTCTGCGCTTCGGCGACTCCCATGGGATCTTGTCCCACTCGTCGTCATGAAGCATGCTCTCCAAGGCGTTACGCCTGGCGAGCAAACACACAAACATAAAAAAAACGGACGCGAATCGCGTCCCCACAAGGTGCACAAGCGTACAGCGACGACTCTTCACCCTGAAAAGGTGATAAGCCGCGCCGTGCGATTTAATGAATCGCACCAACGCTCGAGCTCTGACAATGGTCTCCGTAACCCAAGGAACCCCTGTGCTGATGTCAGACAACATCAAGTTGGCCACGTGGGTGGCACAGGGGAGCCAAGTGATACGGCGGATCTCCGGATCGGGGTCCTTTGCAAGGAGCTTTGCGGCGGACGTATAGTTTGACGCAGAGTCCGTGCAAATGCCTAACACGTCCTTCGGAGGGAAAGACCGAAAAATGGCCTTCCATCTCCTCAGGACGATCCATGCCGTCTCGGCCACTGAACCGTCTCGCTGGACGGTGGCGTACAACAGGGCGCCGCGCTTGGCGGCCGCAAGGAAGTTGACGATAGGCCTCGCGTCTCGCGGTTGCCTACCGTCCGACAAAATGGTGGCCCCCACCGACTCGAACGAAGCACGGACCTCCCTCAACATCGCGGCAACCTTCCCCCGCTGATCATCGATACCACCGTCCCCAATGTCCTTGAAGGACGGATAGACAGGCCGCACTCCGCGAGACATGGCGGCCAATGCCTTCTTGTGCCTATACCATGACGGCCTCCTGAAAGCAGCAAATGGTATACCACTATCGTAGCACCACTGCAAAAAGGTGTCCCTGAATGCGGCCTGCCCATCTGGATCGTACACCTCATCAAGAGTGGACTGCCGCTGTCTCTTGTGCGCTTGCGGCACGCCCTCAACTCCACTGCCCACCGGCCTCTTCCCCGCTGGGCCCGGTGAGTCCCCCTTATGATGGTGAGCCGCGCTTCTCCCTCGCGCAGTCATGACCACCTCCTCCCCCGACAAATCCTCTGCTGCGGCTGTCCCTCCACCCTCCCCAACCTCTGCTCGCTTGGCCTGCTCGTCCAGGAACCTCTCCACCTCATCCACAGGATCGAGCTCCTCTGCTTGCGACTGCGACGCCCCCGTCCTCCCCCTGCCACTGCCTCGCTGGACGTCCACAGCTCCTCTATCCACGATATCGTGCTCCCTCATGTAAGCCACGATACCGCGGTGATGTCGCTTCTCGAACTCGTAATCCGTGTGGTTCCAAAGGTCAACGAACACGTCCATCGCTCGCAGGAACGAAGTCATTGCCCCCCGAACCGCCGGCACCACCCGTCATTTCGGACGTTGACGTCCGCAACCCCTCCAAACMCCCCCCCCCCGGAAACTAGACCCCCGACCACGCAGCCGTGCGAAAACGCGGCCTCGTCAGCCGCCGCGCGGACCAATTTAACGCCGCGCGGACGAATTCAACGCCCCGCGGACGCGGACGTGTCCGTGCGGACGACGATGTCGTCTGGGGGAGGTGCCGCGGGCGTCGCCTGTCGCTCGCGTCGCCGAAAACGCCCGTGCGCCGGATGCGCCCGCAGATGCCTGAGACACAACAACAAAAAACAAAATCCTGTCAATTAATCAATCAATCAATCAATCAATCACAACCAATCAATCAAATCAAGATCCTAGGATGTTGAACCAATCCTAGGATCTTGATTTCTCTCTCTCTCTCTGTCCCACACACACACACACACACACACACACACACACACACACACACGAAAAAAAAAATAGAAGAAGAAAAAAAAAAAGAGCCTAGGATAAATCAATCAATCAATCAATCAATCAAATGAAGATCCTAGGATCTTGATTGGTTCAAGATCCTAGGATCTTGATTTGATTGATTGATTGATTGATTGATTGATTG